TTGTAACCGATGATCATAGACTCTGATTGGTATGGCTGGGTGTCGTAAACAATGGCGTTCGTGCATCTTCTCAATTTCTTTGAATGATTAGTTCACTGAACTCCTCAATTTTCTCTTCACTCCTACAGCGACCAAAAGCGACGCACAGAAGTGCATGCTTAATCGTTGTGTTAAACTGAAACTGAAACTCTCGGCTTGCGGTCTCCAGCGGTTTGTCCAACGCCTCGGTGGAAGTGATTTCATTAGGTTTTCTACTAGTTGACGTATCAAAGGTTATCTGCAACCGGAAATGTGTCGATTAGCAGATCGAAAAGCAGACAGGAATTCCGACTCGGTTGTCTAACGCATTTAGTCGGTATCAGTGTTGTGACTCCACAAGGCGGTGTCGGGCGAGGATAGTTATTTATTGCGAACAACGGTAACGGTATCGGCAAACTGGTATACCTACCTACAACAAAATATCTCATTTACAACAGGTTTTCAGAAGTTCCACAAGCACACACGATAATTAGTGGAACGGTCCGACGATAGACGCATATTTCCCGTAGCTACCATTTCGAATACAGTAATTCGCCCTAATAGGTTTTGCTCATTTTCGACCGTTGAGAGAAACAGCCCATCACGTTCTTTTGCGCAATCCGAACTACTACTCAGAACATTAGTTGTTCTGTGCGACCAGTCGCGCTATGGCGCCTGAATTGAATCTCACACTGACGATAGGCACGTTGAGCATGTCACCGCCATTTTGGATTGAGAGTGAGTCATGTGCATGCCTCACTGAATCCTTTGTTTCATGATTGTTTTGTATTTTCCCTTCCTTGCAGGTTGTTTGGAAATCCCCCCTTCCACGGAGAACCTGTCGTCCGAAGTGTCTCCTACCTGTGCATTGTGAGCGTTTGCAGTGCGCCGCGTTTACTAGTTGGTTCGACATCCCAAACAGGGATTTGTTAGCGGCATTCTGACAGCGCTATTGACACCAGAAACTCCGATCGTGTTACCCCAAATCAACCTACTGCAATGTATCACGAATAGGTGGCAACGATGGGTTAAACCCTCCACGGTACATACCAGATCGCTTCCGTCTTCGAACAACCCTACCTGAAATCGATTGAGATCGTTGGCCCCGATAGACGTGCAATCAGGCAGATTTTCCTTTGGTGGGTGTGACCGTAACTCATGTCATGTGTTCGGTCGTTGGTTTCGTTCTGTTCAAGGATGGAATGAATGACGTCGAACAGCCCATATAGGTGATACTCCATTAGGCGACTGTGGATTTTGGATGGCATGATGCAAAAGTAAGAATCTTTCCATGATATCTGTTCGATTTATGAATGATCCGTTTGAGTTCAGTCTCCCCCACCGCTTTTGATTTTCAGGGTAAAACGGTGATGAGCAAATAAATTTAATCACATTGTGTTTGCGGAAATCTGAAACTGGTGTGGAACAAAGATGAGTTCCATTGTCACTGGCCCCTGTTGTTCCGGGAACGCCGGAACGTCTGCACAACTGAAGGAACCTTTTAATTGTGGTTGTGGTTGATGATGAGGTCCTCCGGATATTTGTTGTGAACTTCCATAATGAAGAATGATTCGTCAATAACAGAACCTGCACCAGCCATTCGTACACAGGATAACGGCTTATCCGTGATGCTGGTCAGCTCGAAAGATTGGTCTTCGGTGAACTATGTTATTAAAAGGTGCGTTTTTCCTCTTTTTTATTTTGCCTAGCGGCTAAAACGTACAGCCATGGAAAAGCGCTTTCGTTCAACTGATTCCGGGGTGTCCCATATAAAATTGTTATAGCGCTTTTGCTGTAAATACCTGTTAGAAAGAGAGTACAGTTGATCTGATTCACATGACGAAAGCCACAGGGAGCGGATAAAGAACATGCTCACAGCAGATCCTGAAGGATAGCTCAGCAGTGTGACTGCCATGGCGAATGAGGTATCAGTATCGATGAAGTTGACATCAGGTATGATCAACATCACCTTTTGTTCAGGCTTTTCACGTTAAGCAATGCATCTGCTTTCCTGGTGGACGCGGTTAAGAATACACCCTATTGTGAACCGTTAATCGTACAGAATAAATGTTCAATAATGAAGATGGTCAGTTGTTTCTTGTTGCACACCACTGGCTGATAGACAGAAAAAGGGTAAAAGCTATGGTTACTTGAGTCTGGTATTCATGGCCACCTGCCAACCACCATTCACTGTCAAACTCGACCTTGGGACATGGAGTGGTGAGTCAAACAAGGCTTCGCTAGGATACGCGTGACATAGGGCTGGATGACGAGCTGCCTCACATCTAAAGTGAGTGACGGTGAGAGGGTTCAAACGTGACACACGAGGGCCCAAAACACTATCATTCCTTTCTCGGATCCAAACATTGCGTGCAGGGACCTGTGGACTGTACGCTTGCGTCAGTGAACTAGGCTGTGAAACTTCTTTGCAGCAAAAATGATGACCTCGTCATCAATGTCTCATTAGTTTTACGATATGTATCCCCGGCACCTGTAAACGATCTCGTCACATGCGCGATAGCCTTCAACCACGGAGCACACGTGAGAACTAACTGCTTCGAGTCCACTGACTGACATGATTGTATTCACGGAAAGTCACACAATTAATGACATTTCCCATTACCATATTATTGCCCAATGAATGTACATGTTCTCATTGATTCACCAGAGACCGAACATTGATTCACATTACACAAACACGTGCCATTTCGAGCAAGTTATCGTACACGACGTTGGTGTGAATATTCATTAGCTCTGTATGTACCCGGTATGACAAT